TTTCTGAATGAATTGGTATATTTTTTATACTAATTATAATAGTATATTTCTTCATTCACCTTCTGAAGGACATTTTGTATGTTTTCAGGTTCTGGCAGTTCTGAATAAAGAAGCCATGGACATTTACAGGTGTTTATTTGGATGTATGTTTTCAGTCCCTATTAAGGTGCCTGATTGCTAGACCATATGTTAAAGGTTTATTTCATTTTGTTAAGAAAATACTAAAATGTTTTCTATAGTGTCTGGGTCATTTTGCATTTCCACAAGCAATAAATAAGAATTCCTCTTGCTTCTCACCTTGACATCATTTGATGTTCCAGATTTGGTGTAGCAGTATTTCTTTTTAAATTGTGGTTTCTGAAAGACGTTTACTTGATGAATCTTTTTTATTTGTTCACTTGTGTATCTTCTATTCCATATTCAGGTGTTATGGTACCATTTGTTTTCTATGTTGTATTGCTTTTTTTCCTTTGTCAAAATTGGTTGACTTTTCATATGGATTTGTTTGAAAGAACAGTTGACTATTTATCTGGATCTGTTTATAAATACAATCTATTCCCTTGAACCACTTTTCAGTCCTTACATCAATTCTATACTGGCTTTTTTACTAGAACTTTTTGGTATATCTTAAAGTTGCATAGTGTCAGTTCTCCCAACTTTGTACTTCTGTTTCATCATTGTGGTGTCCATTCTGGGTCTTTCACCTTTCTGTGTAACAAAATAAGTTATTTAGATTTTTAAATGAGATTTTATTAATGTATAGATCTGTAGGTTTAGTTGGAAAGAACTGTCATTCTAACAGTGTCCAGTATTTCTATCTGCAGACATGAACTAACCATTTTTTAAGTTTTTGTTTGCTTTGTTTTTTGGTTTTATATATTTTGGACAGTACTTTATGTCTAGCTGTCAAGAAAAATATAATTATAAGACATGCCAAGAGGTAGAGGACTCAGTTTGAAGAGATCATAAGCATGACAGAGATATTGAATAAGCAGATTGGGGAAGGTAGAATGCGGAAGGCAGAAGACTCTAGTTGTGTGGGGAGTTGGAGAAGGTCTTGGAGTTGGATATGTCTTTTTCCTTGGGTCAGTTAAGCCTTTATCAGGTTAGCCTTGGTAAACAGTTTCTTCTAAAGAAAAAGAACAGAGTGCTTCCAAGATTGAGGACTTGTGCGTAATACTCAAAAACAGTATGAGTTCCTATGGTGCTTTTACCAAATTTGTTTATGCTGAACTCCTTGCAATTTTGGAACTCATATGGAAAGCATTTTCGGAGTTACTTTATAATGTATAGAATAGCAGTTCCTCCATTTGGTAAAGCAGTAGTTTGCCATAAGTTACTTCATTTTGAGTTTAAGGACTGAGATGAAGTAACTCCACACTTTATACAAGTAAACAATCATTTGCCTGGAAAGCAATAAGGTACAAATTGATAAGTAAATCAGTCATGCTAATATGAATGATAACTTATCAGCTAATCAGAGGCACATGGATGCATGTGCCTGTATTAACTCATATTGGAAAAACAAGCCCCAGTTATCAAACACACTAGACCACTAAATGATGCAACCCCCTCACTTGAAACTAACAAAAGAAAGGGCATTCCAAGACTGGACACAGCAGCACCTGACTCCATTGCTCAGGAAAGTTGCCACAGCAATGAACCTTTGAATCTCTTTCCTCAGGTTTTAGTGGAATATGGTTTCCTTGATGGTGAGGATCACACATGGCCACTGCCACTGGACTTCTCCAGCTCACAATTTAAGTGACACTGTGAAGCTGCTGCCATCCAGACCTTGGCCTAAAACAAGTTCTTGCTCTTGGTTCCTAATATTATTTGGCTACTTACTTTGACTCTTTGCATTCATATCTGCTCTCTGCCTCAGCTCTCCCTTCAGCCACCTTAATCCTTTTTTAGCTTGTGTGTGTGTATGTGTGTGTGTGTGTGTGTGTGTGTGTGTAAAGTGTGATTGTGACTTGAGGTTTTTAAATATGAGAAATGAAAATTGGAATAAGAGAACCAGTGATTGCTCAACTTCACCTACAAGGTCATCTACAACTCTTTTCAGTTAAAAGTGGTGTAGCTTGTGATTTTACTATTGTTCAGCAAACTGAAATTTTGGAAAGACACTAATGTGTTTGGTTTATGGTAATGTCAACACACTTAAAACAATCACAGTTCAAGTTTCCCTGTGTTGGCAAAAATTTCTGCACTCTAATTCTTTTCTTGGTATTTGCTTTGGCTAGTCCTGTTCTCTACATTTGTCCTTCATTCTCTCCCTTTTAGGAGACTTTGGTTTGCCCCCAACCCCATCTCTTTTGTGAGTCTAAAGACAGCTATTTGTCTTTGAGTTTGTATGGCTTTTTACTTGTGAGGATGGAATGTTAACTGTTGGCTTCTTACTTGCAATATAAAAACACAGAAATCTATATTTTTGAATGGGAAATACTGTGTTCTTTACATGCTTCATAATATTTTGATGTTTTGAATATTTTAATATGACATTTCCAGAAGTCAAATTCTTCCTCCTCAGAATTTGATTGTTTGCTTACTGCATTCTTTTTATTTATTGTAGCCTGTTTGTGTAGTGACAATGTTATGTTAATTTTTTTGTAACGTCTGTATTCTTTTTCATTTGTGTTCTCTCATCAAATCCTTGTTCTTTTAGCTTCTGTTCAATTATATGACACATAATAAAGATTTCTTTGCATCCCAGAAGTAAAAAGTAAGAAAGTAAACAAAAGGAGAGGGAAGTGGGGAGAGAGAATTTTTTAAAAAACAAAAGAAACCACCAAACAATTTCTCTGTTTTGCAGATTATCCTTTTGATGGGGCACAGAGACATTTTCTAGGTAGCTTACAAATCTTAGCCTTCAATTCCTCTTTGCCATTTGAAATGTAATGGTTTTACATCTTTAAAAGCATAAGTCTTTTTCAGGGTGTTGGGTGTGGTTTTCCAAATTCTCCAGTGAACACCACGACTTTTAAATATCATAATTCCCAAGAAGGCTCTCTTTCCAGTTTTTTCTTTCTTGCTTTTCTAACACTTTGATTGCTATAAACTTTTGGTTATCCAACGACAGTTTTTGGGCTGGAGATGTGGCTCAAGATGTAGCGCGCTCGTTTGGCGTGCATGCGGCCTAGGTTGGATCCTCAGCACCACATACAAAGAACAATGTTGTGTGCGCCAACAACTAAAAAATAAATATAAAAAAAAAAACAAAGACAGATTTTGATTTATTTTTATAAGTTTTTATGGGTGGTTGGGCCCATGGAGTTGACTATATTATTTGTGGTGTTTTCTGATTATATCCTGGAAATACATTTTTAATTATTTATGATTTTTTCGTTTTCAGTTGGTTGTTAAATTTGAAATAAGTTGTTTATAAGTGGCATGTGATGGGGTCATATGTTTTCATTCTCTTTTCTCTCTCTTTCTTTTGGTACTAGAGATTGAACCCTGGGGTGCTTAACCACTGAGCCATATCCCAGTCCTTTTTTATATTGTATTTAGAGACAGAGTCCCACTGAGTTTCTTGAGGCCTTGTTAAGTTGCAGAGGCTGGTTTTGAGCTCTTAATCCTTCTGCTTCAGCCTCCAGAGCCACTGGGATTACAGGTGTGCTCTACTATGTCTGGCTTTATTCTCTTCATTTTACATTTGAGGTATTTATTGAATGGACATTGGGTTTGTGTTGACTTTTAAAATTTTTTTTTAACTTTTTAAATACTGTCATCTCTTTGTGTTCTTGCCTGCCTTTTGGATACTTTAGCATTAAGAAGTTGTATATTAACATATTAATATAAATTCAGATTCACATCTTTGCAATTTCCTTTGTTATTCTTCGATGGCCTTGGGAACCTTATCTGAAAATTTCTTTTATAAGTTTTATTACTAATTAAATTTTTATGTACACATAAATTTTACTTCACAATATAAGATTTTCTCTTTCACCTTGACTGCCAATTTTAGGGTATATGAGTGTGTATGTAGTTGGGATGTGTTTATTACCATGTAAGTGGAAGTCATTATAAATGTTAAAGATGTGTCTTTGTTTAGATTATGGCATGGTTGGGTGCTTTGTGAGACAGACATAAAAACAATATTATGTACCTCTCTACTTCTTTACTTGTCAGGTGTGTTTTGGTCTTTTTTACTCTATGTCTAGCACAGTTTTTACATCATTGATATAATCAGATTGCTCAGCTAATTTAAAATAATCATGAGTAGTTCTTGAAATGACACTTTCTACTATTGTACTTTTAAAAATGTCTAAGCTGCTAAGGGAAATAAGCCAGTATTTTGTTAAATTTTTTTTAAGATAAAATTTACTTGATTTTCTTTTGTTAGTATTTTCTTTTGTTTTGGACGAGTTTTCTTCGGCCTTCTGATGAGAACAAGAAAGGATTTTAGTTTCATTAATAAGTTTTTGAGGAAGATGGGTGACAAATGGAGTCACTTATAAATTTTATGTAACCTTAGACAACATTATTATATCCTATCAGTGGGAAATGTAATGTCTTTAAAGTAATCCATTTACGAATATTTTGGAAAAAATATTCCCCAGAACTGAGCACTTGAAAATTCAAATTCTACTACTTTTTGTTCTCATCCAAAGGGTAGTGACATTTGCTTTTTTGCTCAATGTATTAATTAACCCTGCCTTTGAAAGTGTTTCTAGAGTAATTAATGCATTTTCACATAGTATAATCTAGAGATAAGAAAGTATGTGAAAGGATATACAGAGATTATAAGCAAATATTTGCCATTTTATGTAAAAGACATTTGAGCATCTCCCAGTTTTGGTATCTGTGGAAGTCCTGGATCCAGTTCCTTATGGATACCAAGGATCGACTGTATATTGCTGCAGTTTTCATTCTGCTTAATTGCTTAAAAAGTTAATAAAGTTATGGTTGGTTGTTTAAAATCAAGGGTATTTCTACTTAAAGGCTTTGTCGTTTCATTTGTTTTCTAAATATTCCTCTTCTCCCCTGTTCTTCAGAGGAAGTATCACTCTGCAAAAGAAGCTTATGAACAACTCTTAAAGACAGAAAACCTACCTGCACAAGTAAAAGCAACTGTATTGCAACAGTTAGGTACATAAGACTTATTTTTTATTACCCTTTACATTCATTTAAAGATGTTGTTTTGCCATAGGATGGGGTTGTTAGCCTTCTGCTTAGAAATTCATTTTTACTTGAAATCTGTTTTAGGATTAAATGTACCGTGTATTGTGTTATGATTAAATTTAATATGAGTACCTTAATTCCTTTCTTTATAAATGTGTTATTTTTCTTTTTTGTCTATAATTATTATATTTATACCTATTGTTAGGCAAACTTTGTCTCACCATTCATCCAAATGTAATGAAGCTAGTTCTTTTAAATTCTCAATATTTCTCTTTACCATTAGACCAAGGGAGGATGGGGTTTGAGTACTTCTATATGCAGGGCTCTTAGGAAGTTAATTGAATTAAGACAATTTATTACAGTTTAATAAGTACTGAGCTTGCTTTAATAGTTTTGTTGATAATAGGATTGATAGAAACATTTCACCTATGTATTAGAGAATATCTCATTCTATATTTCCTTGAATAGAGTTCTTTATTCGTATAATGAAGATGAAGAAATAAAGTATTTGAAAATAATATAAAATGTTAAAATTTTAAAGATAATGAGGATTTCTCCCAATAATTATTTTAGATAAGGCTTATTTGTCTTCTCTATGATACTTGGCATTTGGGTCATGGTTTGGTTGGTTGGTTTTACTTTCACTGTTTAGATGTAGTAAGAGCAAATAATTTCTGAGTTTCAGTGAGGTTTGGAATAAGAGGAATGCTATTGTATGTCATTTTTTAAAATACAATTTCAGTATTAGCAAAGCTTAGTTTTGCTTAGATAATACTTTTGGCAAAGAAATTTTGTATACTTTAATTGAGCCACAGCTAAAACACTTATTTCTGTTTATCACATAGTGCCTCAAAACCTAATATTTCAATTGTCTGTGTAGCTATAGTTTTAAATCTAGCTATTAAGTTAACAGTTGTGGTACATAACTCTATACCATTCTCATAACTTTTTGAACTTACTTTTCACCGAGCTTTTCCATACAGTCTTGGAGTTTGTTGTCGTTTTGTTTAGTTGTTCCATCAAATGCTGTCATATTTAGGACTTCCTGTAAATAATCTATGTTAGTAAGATGCTGGGCCTTTTGTAAGTTTTCAAAAATGAATAAAGGATTTACCTTTGATTATATAATCTTGCATTTATTCTTTGGTAATAAAGATAGGATGCATAAATTATTCTTAATATTCTTTATGGTGTATTGTGACTTTCAAAGGAAAAATAAGTGTATCATCTTTAGCCATATCATTTCTGAATTTTTTTTCAAAATTAAATTTAGGAAAGGAGAATTTCTGGTTTATAAACTCTTAGAAATCCAGTGCCTCAAGGTCACTTAGTTATTTTCTCTGTATGATATAGATTATCTTGCACTTACATTCAGTGGTTTCCAATTTTGGGAAAACATAATCTCAAGCAATGGAATAAATTACTAAAATATTGTTTTAATTTGTTTGTACCCTATGTGGTATTCTTAATGCTAAAAAAAAATAGTTGAATGATGGGTAAATACATGTGACTTTTTGTTGTTGTTGTTGTTGTTGTTGTTGTTGTTATAGGTTGGATGCATCATAATATGGATCTAGTAGGAGACAAAGCCACAAAGGAAAGTTATGCTATTCAGTATCTCCAAAAATCACTGGAGGCAGATCCTAATTCTGGCCAATCTTGGTATTTCCTTGGAAGGTGAGATTGAACTCTTTGACTGCTTAGAGTTGATATGCTTTGTAAAATGTTAGTTTACGTGAAATGGTCTGGTCAGAGACATTTTTTAGATATCTTAAATATCATAAGATTTTTTATGTCTTTAATATAATGAAGATTTCTGGAAGGTGAAAATGGACAATCTGAATGTGTTTGCTCTTATTGAGATGTTCTTATTTTGATTAGATTTTGTTTTCACATTATTGTAATCTTAGTTGAATTGTTCTTAAACAATCTTAAATAGCTTTTTATCAAATAGCAGTCACTAATAGTTTTTAGTTTGGTGTCTTAAGTTGTGCCTGTAATTTCTTATATTTTTTCATTTATTTATTTAGTAATACAGAAAATGCATTTATATTATTAGTAAAAGCAGACTTTTACATATGAATTTTACATATTAGAACTATTTTTCTACCTAGATTTCTTTTCAGTCAAGAATAAGATTTGGCACGGTGGCTCATGCCTGTAATCCCAGTGGATCGGGAGGCTGAAGCAGTAGAATCACAAATTCAAAGCCAGCCTCAGCAGCTGGGAAGTCCTAAACAACTGAGTGAGACCCTGTCTCTAAATAAATTGCAAAATAGGGCTGGGGGTGTGACTCAGAGGTCCAGTGCCCCTAGGTTTAATTCTTGGTACCTCACACCACCACCACCACCCCCCCCCCCAACAACAAAAAAGAATAAGATTTGTAGCATATTTTTTCATAGCATTGTGGGTGTGTCTAGTGCTAGAGATTTGTATTATTGTAGTTTACTGTAATAAACACAAAGGAAACATACTCTTGAAAGTATGAATTTTGTACAAATACTGTACTTTTACCAGCTTTGTGTGAGGACAGCCATATTCACAGAGATCTTGTCCAGTAAATCAGATTTAAAGCACTAGTGTACTTTTTACTTTTAACCTTTTTTGGATAAAAGTTTCCAAGTGAACAGAATGATACCTGGGCTCTCTCTCATTCAATGAGGAGGTCACGGAACAGGGTAGAGGAGAGTGTGGCTGCGGAGTTGCTAAACAAGAACTCCAGAGACCAAAGAGGAAGCAGGTCTGATTTTATTGCACAGTTATTTTATATATATATACACACACACACACACACACACACACACACACACACACACTCTGAGGCAGTAGCTAAGCAGATACTTATGCAATTTCTGGCCAGTTGTCCTTGCAGCGACCAATCTAGGAATGGGCCGAGGAGCAGGTGAAGGGACTGCTACACGTGGCCTCATGTTCAGGGCTGTGCCTATGGCGTAAGTGGTTTGCTGCTTACATGCCTGGCATGGGGGGCTGGTTTGCCACTCAGATGCCCTTAATGTATGCCATGTCTGCAATACTCTATGCACTTGTCCCCACAGAACACTTTCTTGACTTTTTAGATAGAAGATGGTAACCTATTTTAGGTTCAGTATTATTTTTTAGGTATTAATTAGCTTTAAATTTTTTTCTTCGATTTTTTTTTTTTTTTTTTTTTTTTTTTTTTACTTTGTGTTTCTTTGAATCTGCTTTTTTGCTGGGGGAAAGAAAACAAGTTTGTGAAATTATATTTTAAAACTTATAAGTTCTACATGAAGAACTTAGGTGTTATTAAAAATATTGAAATTTGATGACAGTAATATTTCTGAGACGTGTACATTATCTATGTGTTTAATACTGTGTTGAATATTGAGCTCACTTATTAGTTGGGATGTATATATAAAAGGGAAAAGAGTGGGTAATACATTTATACTATCACTAGTTATTAATTCTGATAATGGCTTCCTAAGATGGTATAATGTTAGATTTGGGTTAGAGTAGGGTGCTTCCTAGTTTACTCATTTTGAGGCAGACAGTAGATCTTACTTTGGTAGGTAGGAGTAGAGCCTTCGGAGAAGAACAAGAGGGGAGAGGGAGGGACATCATGCCAACCTAAAAAGAGACAGTGTGTCTGAAAGATATCCTGCGAGTTGCTGCTCCCTGCCACAGTGCCTTCTTCTGACCTAGAATACTTGTTTCTGTGTCAAACATCTTCAACCACAGCAGCCTTCCTTAGTTGTCCTTGCTCTTATCCGTAAGTCAACCATAAGCAGACTCCTACCCAAATGCTTCCTCTTGTCTACTAAAATGTTGGACCCATCTTCTTAATTTTGTAAAAAGAGATTGAAATCATACATTCCTGATTGTCTTAGTAAGTTCAAATCCATGAGTTGATTGGTTCATAGCAGCATACCCATTAGCATCATCCCTCTCTAATGCCCCTGCAGAACCAGTAGATAAGCCTTAACATCTTTATGCAAAGAACATCTAGTGCTAGTTCCTCAGTAGTTCCTCCCACTCTTTGAGGCTCTCTTCTTTCTCTGCTTTAAGTAACACTTATTTCCCTATCCTTTGCTTGTCTGTGGATTCATTACTTGAATTCAAGAGGCAAAGAATCCAACTTCTTAGATCCACTGTGGGAAACTAGTCCAGAGGAATAAAGTGTTTTCCGTAAAGTTTCATAGTAATTATTATCAGAAAAGGAGCACCAGCTTCCACCTGTGTTTTTATTGTTGTTTTAATTACTCAGACTAATTCAATGTAATCTAGACAAGTTACATATAGGAAAAACAGTTTGTCAGTGGACTCAGACATCTGTGATTGGGCTTGTCAGGCTTAAGTGTTCATGTACAGATGAAACCCAATTATAGAAACTTTTGTTAGGCATGAAGAATAGAATTGGAGCAGCACATGCCTGTGATCCCAACTCTTGGGAGGCTAAAGCAGAAGGATCAAAAGTTCAAAGACATCCTCAGCAGCTTTGTGAGTCCCAGAGTAACTCAAAATAAAAGGGGCTGGTGATGTGGCTCAATGGTTAAGTTTCATTGGGTATAATTCCTGATACCCAGCCTCCAAAGGAAAAAAAAAAGGTATAGAATTGCACTGTGGGATGCATATGCACAGACTAGGGTGGCCTTTTATATGTCTGGAGAAAAAATAAAGTTTAGAATTTTTCTGGGAGAAAGAAATATATACAAGGAATTCTGAAAGAAAGTTCATTGTCTGTCTCAGCATTTGAGGGAGCTGGCAAGTTCTGACTACCAATTGGCAGAAGTTAACTTTGTAAAGGTAGTCTGAAGGTCAAAGTTGGCAGTTCTACCATGGCTTGCCAAGTAAAAACTGTTTTAAAGATAGGATAGTTTGTTTTATTCTGTGAGATGATTTCTGGATTAGGGTTCTGTGATTTGCTTTCCTTTCTCATCTTGTTATTCAAGTATTGGGAAAGTCCAGGTTTTTGTGTATTTATATTTATTATTCATATGTTTATATTATTATGTGTAAAAATAATAGTATTTTAATCAATGCAGAGCATCCTTGAAAGATGTGTCTAATACCCCCCAAACTCCATTTTAGTGGAGTATAATAGGAATGACTCCATTTATGTAAATGAATTTTCACAGGTATACTGCTTCTATTTTCACTTTTTAGAAATGGACTATGAAATGTTGCTTATTACTCTTGGCATTTGTGAAGAGTTGTCTGATGATCTGAAATTCAGTTCATTTTAAGAAAAAATATGACTTATTCTCTCTTAACATTTACATTCTTTCTGGTTGTTTACATTGTTGCTTTCTTCTGAAATTGTCCCATTCTCCCAGCCCTTTCACACAGGTTGTAAGAACTCTCTGATATTGCCTTCTTTCATTTTTTTGCACTTTTAAATTTCCTATAGCCCATAGATAAGCCATTTTTTAAGGCTTATTTCTATCCCTCTTTTGTATATGTCCTGTGTTCTTCAGTTTCATGTGAGTGAAATTTAAAGATCTCAGTACTACATCTAGTTCTTTGCATTATACATAATCAAAGACTGCACCTCACATCCTCATTGGCATGTTTTAAAACTTTTTTCACGATGTTTTTCTCAAACTAGTTTCTCGCTTTTTTAAAAAATGCTTTTAGTTGTAGATGGACACAATATCTTTATTTAAATTTTATCTATATATGGTGCTAAAAATCAAATGCAGATTCTCATACATAGTAGGCAAGCATTCTACCAATGAGCTTCAACTCCCTTGCCACTAGTTACTTGGTTTTATAACAGTATTTCTGCCAATTTTTAGCTGAACTAGGTTTTAAAACAGATTTATTATCCTCCTACTTGAATCATTCAGTTTTTTAAAACCAATTATTAGGTGTATTCTTTCCCTACCTTTTTCTTATTTGTCCCTTCATTACTTTGCCTGTAACTCTAGGACAATGTATGTATTCACCTTCTGTAAGGTGAATTTATGTCCTTTTTAGACTTTAAGTGTCAGTCTTAAGGTCTAAAAAAAGACAAATTTGTGAGCAATTTCCTTTAAAGTTCTTTTCTTAAGCCACTTGCCTTCAAAGAAAAATCACAGAGTAGGTTAAAATTTTCTATTTTTAGGCTACTTTTCTCTTTTTTTGCACATATGAGATGCTTTCATGATGAAGTCCTTTAAACCAATATGAAATGTCTCTGCAGATTTTCCTTTTTAATTTATGTTTCCCAGGCAGTTTACCTATGCAAGTTATAAAAATTTCGATGAGTAAGTACAGCAGTCAACATAGGGTACTTGTTTCATTAATGATATTAAAAGACTTTTGTTGTTTTATATCTTGATTGTCATCCTGAGTGAAACCATACAGATAGTTTCTTGAAGAATACTCGTGTGTGGACAGCTATACATATACTTGCACACCCACATGCATATATATATATATGATGAGACAGGTTGTGTGAGGGGAAAGATTGCTACATAATAAGAATATAGAGTTAAATAAAAAGTGTTGAAAGTGATACAGTAATTTTCCTTTCACAACAAATAACTCAAAATGACAGAATGATTGCTGTGTTATCAATTGGAGAATGAGAATTAAATTCAGTATAGAAATCATTACCAATAGATTGTGGATTTTTTTCTGTACTTTTAACCCTCTACTCTTATGATGTAGGAAACCTGAATTTAAATTATGTAAGTTGAGTTCTGTGTTTAAATCTCAGTATCAAAGCATTGAAGAAATTCACAGTGTAATAGTTTCAGTAGAGTTACTTCATTAATGTAACATGCACTAGTATTTACAAAACATCCTAGTATTTACAAAACACCAAATTATAATATAATGGAGATTAAAATTATGTATGAATCTAGATGTATATTCTCCCTCTCTCTCTCTCTCCCTCCTTGCTCTCCCTCTCCCACTCTCATACACACACACACACATATATATATATATATACCTTGTTTACTCTCTTCTTCTCATTTAAATATATAGTCTCTCATTTTGGCAAATAAGTTATCTATTAATGGACTTTTGTTTAATTGTGTGTATATGTTATTCTTTTAGGTGTTATTCAAGTATTGGGAAAGTCCAGGATGCATTTATATCCTATAGACAATCTATTGATAAATCAGAAGCAAGTGCAGATACATGGTGTTCAATAGGGTAAGGCTGTATGTTAAAAATAATTTTTGTGTATTTATATTTTATTATTAATGTTTATTTTATATTATATATAAAAATAAATAGTATTTTAATCAATGCAGAGCATCCTTGAAAGATGTTTCGAAATACCATAAAACTAATCAGTTTTTGAAAACTCCTTTCTGTTTGCAGTGTGCTCTATCAACAGCAAAACCAGCCTATGGATGCTTTGCAGGCCTATATTTGTGCTGTACAATTGGACCATGGGCATGCAGCAGCCTGGATGGACCTAGGAACTCTCTATGAATCCTGCAACCAGCCTCAGGATGCCATTAAATGCTACTTAAATGCAACTAGAAGCAAAACTTGTAGTAGTACTTCTTCACTTGCAGCAAGAATTAAGCTATTACAGGTAAAAATTTAAACTAATATATTTTGTCTATTTTTTTTAATTTTTATTTTTTAGTTGTAGTTGGACATCATACCTTTATTTCACTTATTTATTTTTATGTGGTGCTGAGGATCAAATCCAGGGTCCCACACATGAAAGGCGAGCGCTCTACCGCTGAGCCACAACCCCAGCCCCAAACCAACATATTTTAAACTACACACATCTCCCCTTATAAAAAGTGGCAGGAAAGTTTGTCTATTTGTGTTTTGATGCTAATTTGTTTCCATACTTGCAATATTTTGTGAAATTACTTTTCTTGTCATTTGAAGTAAGATGTGGTATCTAAAATATATTCCTTTGCACATATACTTTGTTGATGCATATTAATTTACATGCTCTACATTAATATGCGTGAACATTTTCAGTGTGCTATCTTCATTTTTAAGTTTTCATAGCATTTTAGAGAAAAGAACACACACACTGCTTTTCACGCTTGGTTGAAATTTCATAAGGAGTACCTGCAAGAACTCTGAAAATTAGAGCATAACTTTGTTCTAATATTCCCAAGTATATTCTAGTTGCCCTTTTTATACTTAGCATCTATCTAAAAATCCCAAATTCAGAATTATATTTCTATAAAAAGTAAAATACTTATAGCACTGAGGAAGATTTAGTGGACTTGCTCTTACTTAAGTAGGCTTGTGTTAAATTTGCTTTTTACATAATTTTTCCTAGGCTCAGTTGTGTAACCTTCCACAAGGTAGTCTACAGAATAAAACTAAATTACTTCCTAGTATTGAGGAGGCATGGAGCCTACCAATCCCCGCAGAGCTTACCTCCAGGCAGGGTGCCATGAACACAGCACAGCAGGTGAGAAGTTGGGTTGTCTTCTGTAGGTGCCCAGCTTTTAAGGGTTCTTTTCAATCTGTAGTAGTTAAACCTATTTTAATACATGTAGGATCTTTTAATGTAAAAAATCCCTTTAATTTGACAATAAAAAGTCCTTTTTAATTTCAAAGGGATTTTAGGTCAAAAATAAATCTTCCTCTGATATGGGAAGGATCTTGGTGTCAGTTAAAAATCTTTTTTTCAAAACTTGAAAGAAAAACTATATGAGTCTATTGAATACTTCATTTTGATTTTCAGTATTTTCAATCAGTGATGTCCACGTAACTTTGAAAAGTACACAGCTGATAATGTTTTATAATTTGAAGGAATGAATTAAGAATGCTGACCTATTTTTGTTGTACTAATGTGAACCTTAGGCTTATAGTTCATGGTCCAAATACTGAACTTGTGTTAGACTTTAGTCAAACATTAATTTCACAGCAATCCTTGTCAGTACACATGATCACTTGTAGTCAAGTAGAAGGCCTGCCCACTCTTGCGAAGAAAAAAAGAACACTTAGTCCAACAAAGTATCGCACATATGTATGTGTTGTGTGTGTTCATGAATATTTATCCCCCCCAAAAAAGTGGTCAAATTGTTTACTTCATCCAGTACAACAATAAGTTCATTGGTATTTGACACCACAGAAATAACAGGTATGAGATATTCTTTTGACTTTTTTTTTCATTTTCATTATATATATTTATATATACAGACACAGCACATACATATGAGATATGGAAAAATCTCAATTAAAAATGAAGCTTCAACTCTTCTGAAATTTACTTATCATTTATTTTTAATCTGTGGACATCAGGGAATAAAGCAGTATTTCTATTCCATAATCTCTGCATCATATTGTATGTAGAAATCAGGGATAATTTTGTGTTCATCAGACATTCCATTCATTTCACAGCTTTTATGATTTTTAACAGTTATTTATCATCCCTCTGTACTAACGTTGAAATAAATTGAAATGTTGGTTATAGTAGGTAGTCTAAGTATTTTGAGAAATGATTTAGATATTAGACTTTTCCCTAAATTTATGTGTTTGCAAACTGTTTGAGCCTCTTACACTATATTTAGAAGAATTTAAAAACTTAATTTCTATAGGTGTATGAATAAATATTCCAATTTCTAGTCATTTGTTGTCTCTTTAGTCATAGCTGTTACTATAGGAGTTTAACCAAATATTCCTAAAATCAATTTTTCTCAGAATGGTTCTGATAACTGGAATAGTGGCCAAACTATTTCACCTCATCCAGTACAGCAACAAGCACATTCATGGGGTTTGACACCACAGAAATTACAGGTATGAAATATTCTTTTTTTAAAATATTTATTTATTTGTAGATAAACACACATTATCTTTTTTTATTTTTAAGTGGTAATGAGGATCGAACCCAATGCCTCACACACGCGAGGCAAGCACTTTACCACTGAGTTACAGCCCCAGCCTCTGAAATATTCTTTTGATGTATTTTTTTAAGTAGAAGTAATAAGGATTGTTTTAGAATTCAGTCAATTTTTAGTTAATATGTACATTATTTTTCAAAGTAATAGAAATTATAATTAATTTTGGTGGTTGGGCAGAAAGTAGAAATGGGTAGATTAGAGAGTATAAAAGCTCTGTTTGGTTTTTATCTTTCCTTCAGCTACCAATTTTCCTTTCTCACAGACAGGCAGTATTATTTCTCGTAGACAGAAAATTTGCAAATACAAACAAACATATCTGTCTCATACATTCCTTTTTTGCATTTTTAAAATAGAAATGTAGGTAGAACTTTAGATAAGCAGAAGTCATGTGTGTATTTATTGCAGAATTTTGCTTTCTTTTTTCTTTTTTCAAATGTTTATTTTTAAGTTTTATGTGGACACAGTATCTTTATTTTATTTTTATGTGGTACTGAGGATCAAACCCAGTGCCTCACACATGCCAGATGAGCGTGTTAACACTTGAGCCTCTCTTTTTTCTTTTTTAAAAATATTTATTTTTCAGTTGTAGTTGGACACAATACCTTTATTTTATTTATTTTTATGTAGTGCTGAGGATTGAACCCAGGGCCTTGCACTATACCACTGAGCGCTATACCACTGGGTCACAACTCCAGCCCTGTTTTTTTTTTTTTTTTTATTTTGTAAAAATGGAAATTGAGGATTTCCCCATGTTTTTATATTGTTTCATGTTTTCTTTCTTTCTTTCTTTCTCTCTTTCTTTCTTTCTTTCTTTCTCTCTTTCTCTCTTTCTCTCTTTCTTTCTCTCTTTCTCTCTTTCTTTCTCTCTTTCTCTCTTTCTCTCTTTCTCTCTTTCTCTCTTTTTTTGTAGTACTGAGGATTGAAATCAGGGCCTGTGCTGCCTGCAAGGCAAGCACTCTACCAACAGAACTATATATCCCCAGCCCACTTTATTGTTTTTTTATGGTGATATATGTTCCAGTTGAGGCTTCATGGGGATTATACCTCATTTAATCAAATCCCCATTGTTGGGTTTTTATGTCATTTCCTGCTGTTTTAATTTCAATTCCTCAATACATTTCATTCAAAACAAACAAATTAACTTTCTTGAGATGAATCTTTAGATCTGTGCCTTTCTCATACCTCTGAAAATTTTTATTTTGGAAATGAGTACTGGTGGTGAGTTTACAGACTTTCTATTGAGAAATTGCCTTATCATGTTTTTATATAAAACTTTGTATTCATTCTAATATTTAGCTTAAACTTGGATTATATTCTCCTCTTTCCTTTTAGCACTTGGAACAGCTGCGTGCAAATAAAGATAATTTAAATCCAGCTCAGAGACTGATGCTGGAACAGCTGGAAAATCAGTTTGTCTTAATGCAGCAAAGAGTATGTACACTTTTATCATTTCTAAAATATATTAGCACATGGGATTTTTTTATTGCAGTGTCATTTTAGAGGACATTAAGGTCACTGCTAGTTTTTGTCTGTATTCAGTGGAATTTAATATCAGCTTTGAATGCTTGAAACAGATTTTTGAAGGGAAAAAGAGCTACAAATTAATTTATAACAAACACTTGGTATTTTATTATTTATTTACATAATGTTTTATTTGTGTCTTAAGTTGCTTATTTTTAATATTAATAATTAACAAATTGCCCCAAATTGAGGTGGTGATGCTTTAATGATTGTGTTACTGGAAGGATTTGGTATAAATAAAATGGAAACTTGAAGTCCTCTGTTTCATGATGGAAAAAAAAAAAGGCTTATTAATTTATGATTTGTAATCCATGAATTTTAGCTGATTTTATTGTCTCTGCAAGGAAATATTAATTTTTATGCAGTAATCACCTCTAAAATCAAGCATGGTTTCTTGTTTTTTAAAGTGTTTTTCTAACTTAGATGAAATGCTATGATAAAATTACAGATGTTTCGATTACACATTTTCAGAATCACACAAGCAGGTTTTCTTTTTTGTTTTTGAAGATGAGACAAACAGGAGTTGCTCAGGTACAAACTACTGGAATTCCTAATGGGCCAATATCTGACTCATCACTGCATACAAACTCTATCTCTAGCCAGCAACCACATGCAGCTCTGACCAGAGCACCTAGCATCTCTCAGCCTGGAGTTCGCCCTGCTTGTCTTGAAAAGCCTTTGTCCAACGGACCTTTTTCTGCAGGCTATGTTCCGTTCGGCATATCAGAAACTCTAGGGAATACAGACACTATTTTGGTAGGCAATAATTATATAAAAGGAAGTGGAAGTAATGGAAATGTGCCTTACCTGCAGCAAAACACATTCACTCTACCTCATAACTGCACAAACCTGACCAGCATCACAGGAGAGCCATGGAGAAAACAACTGTCTAACTCTGCTCAGGTAAAAGAAAGACTACCTGTTTTTTTGGCTCTTATACAATAGTTTATCTTTATTTGGCTTGTATACATTTTGAGAAGAAGAAGAAATTTAAATTTAAAGAATGGTTTTATCTTTAAGAACTAACTTTAAATAATTCAATAACCATTTAAATTTAAAGAATGGTTTTATCTTTAAGAACTAACTTTAAATAATTCAATAACCATATAAGATTTTTAACTAGTATCATTACTAAATTTTGACTCAGTCTGTGCACATAAATGTATCAATGTATGATTAGTACACATACACATTATGTTAGATAGTATGGGAAGCCAAGGGAAAGAAGGGAGGGGGCCCTTAATCTAGTTGCTAATTAAACTATCAAAATCACATTTTGTAGGGGTGAATGAACTGTATGCATTCAAAAGAAGCTGTACTTTGAATTTTGATCATTTATGGGCTCGGGATATGTTGTGCTAGTGTCTGGTGATACTGGATAGAGGCAATAACTTATTGCCAGCTCCCAGGCAGTCGTGTGTAATCATGAGGTAAAACATCTCTTACTGTACTGTGTCCTCTATGGATCAGAATTTTTTAATATATTTTGTGTTTTTGCATCCTAGGGTAACTACAAAACCCATGTGTGCATACTATACTCATGCAGCCATTCTTTCTCACTTTTGGTACAATGTTAAATAAGTTGCATAAGTTATTTAACACTTTATTATAATACAGACTTTGTATTAGATAATTTTGCACTTACTGTAGGCTCAAGTAGATTGTAGGTGTTTTGAGCAGGTTTATAAAAGTTAGACTAGGCAAAACTATGATGTTTAGTGGGTAAGATGTATTAACTGTTTTCAGCGTATAATATTTTTATCTTTTGGTAGGTTTAGAAGGATATAATCCCTCCATAAGACAAGAAATATCTCTTATCTACAGGTCTATGCTCAGATATTCCCTGAATAAAAATCAACATTATGCCAGGTGCTAAGTATTCATTCCCTTTGGACCAAAAAAAAAAAAAGTTTTAAATACCATAAATTACAGTAAAGTGTAATTTGAACTAAAGGTAGCAAGTGCCACAGGTGGGCCAAAATATTAGATACTTAGGTAGTTTAAGGAATTTGGAAAGAGAAATGAAAGATAAAGTATGGCTGGTTAAATGTGAGGCTTTAGGAAAGGTCCCACCTTGAATACAGGAAAGAGCCATTAAGCTTTTGATTAACAATGTGAATTTCTTGAACCTCTTTAAAACTTATTAGTGATTAATGGACTATATTTTTTTAGAGCTCTTCTAGGTTTACAGACAGAAATCTCCCATTCCCTCCTCCAGTTCTTCACAAATCTCTTACACTACTCTGGTGCATTTCTTAGGATTAATGAGGCAACATTGGTTATTATTAACTAAAGTCCATAGTTTGCTATTTGTGTTGTATTTTATGAGTTTTGACAAATAGGGGATGGCATGCATTCATCTTAATAGTATCCAAGAAAAAAGTTTCACTCTCCTAAATGTATGTTGTGCTATGTTTGTTTATCCCTCTCCGCCTCTCCTGAACTTATGCCAACCTGACCTTTTTTTTTTTTTCTTTTTTGATTGGGGGTACTAAGGATATAACTACTCAGGGGCACTAGACCACTAAGCTATATCTCCAACTCTGTTTTGTATTTTATTTAGAGATAGGATCTCACTGACTTGCCTCGTGTCTCACTAAATTGCTGAGGCTGGCTTTGAACTTGTGATCCTACTGCCTCAGCCTCCCAAGTTACTGATTACACACTGGCTCAGACTTTTTTATTGTTTCTGTAGTGTTCCCCTTTCAAAAGGCCATATTATTGGAACCATATGTTATAAAGCCTTTTAGATTGATTTGTTCTTAGATACATACATTTATTTTCCTCTTTGTCTTTTTGTGGCATAATAGATCTTTTAAATTTTTGAACCCTGAATACTAGTCCCATGTGTAAATGTACAAATTTGTTTTGCCAATCATCTATTGAAGTACTTCTTAGTTGAGTTGGCAGTTATATAAAATTTGAAATAGACATCTATGTGTAGATTCCATATAGAAATCCTTAACTCATTTTGGGTAGATATCTAAGAATGTCATTTTTTGATCACATGGCAAGGACATGTTTTATTTTCAAATAGATTATCTTCTAAAGTGGCTACACCATTTTGTATTCCAGTCTGCAATGAATGGTGAATGGGTCTTCCTGTTGGTCTACATCCTCACTCATACTAGGTGCTATTGCTTTCTTTGCTCTAGGAAATCTTATTAGTATGTAGTGTGGCATTTCCTTATTATTTTTATTTACATTATCCTAATGGAATACCATGGGGAGGATCTTTTCATATGTTAATTTGCCTTATGTTTATCATCTGTGATGAGTTAACTGTTCAGATCCTTGGCCAGATTTGTTTATTTGTTATTTGTTTCTTTTGTTCATTTTCTTAATGTTGAATTTTTAGAGTTTTTGTCAATTTTGAGTAATAATCCTTTATCAGATGTATTTAGCAAGTATTTTCTACCAGTCCATGGCTAGTCTTCTTGTTTTCTAGGCAATGTCTTCTGCAGATGTTTAGTTTTAATTAACTGCAGCCTATCATATCTTTTGTGTATCATGTTTTTGTTATTCTACTGAAAAAAGTCATTAACAAATCCAAGGTATATGGATTTTCTCTTTTTTTTTTCATCCAGGAATTTTTTTTTATAGTTTTATGTTTAGATCCATGATCCATTTTTATTTACTTTTTTGAAAAGACTGGAAAGAAATCTATCTAAAGATTCCTTCTTGTTTTCTTCCTTTTGTTGTTTTAGTGTTGTGTTTTTCTGTCTTTTTTCTTGTTTTTGCACTTAAACATCTAGTTGTTCCAGCATTATTTGCAGAAAAGATTACTTTCTGCTGTTGTATTCTCTTTTGCTCCTTTGCCCAAGATCTTTGATTTGTAGATGTTCCTGAACTCTCTATTTGTCTATCCTTTTCGCCAATATTACTTTGTCTTGATTACAGTTGCCTTATAAAGAATACCAAGAAGTCAGTTTGTATTGATCCTCTGTCCCTGTTCTCTTTTAAAATGGTGTTAGATGTTCTGGGTTTTTTTGTCTTTGCATGCTTTGTCCATATTTTTGCATCTAATATTTACAAGAGAGATTTGTTTATGACTTTCCTTTCTTGCCATAGCTTTATTTATGATTTTCTTGTCTTGCCATAACTTTATTTGTTCATCACTTTCCTTTCTTGCCATTTTGGTTTTGGGGTAATTTTGTCTTCTTACATTGACCAAATGGCCACTGTTTTCTATTGGGACAGGATATTAATTATTTATTCAATAATTATTTTTTCTTACTTGAAAATAGTTTGAGTCAGATTGTCAATTTTCATTAGGTGAATTCTGTAGTTATTGTGTCATTTCAACTAATTCATCAGTCTTTGGGGTATAAAGTTGCTCATAATATTTCTCTATAATCCTTTAAATGTAGATTAGTAGTAATGGAACCATTTCCAATTCTGATTTAGTGGTTTGTTTTTTTCCAATCTGTTTTTTGTTTGTTTGTTTGTTTGTTTGTTGTTTTTTTTTTTTGTGGCTAGAGGCTAGCAGATGTTACTGATCTTTTCAGAGGACCCATTTATTATTTCATTGATTTTTCACTACTATTTTTCTGTATTTATTTAATTGATTTACCTTGTAATTATTATTACTTTAGTTACTTTGAATATAATTGGTTCTTTGGTTAGTATGGTAAGGTGGAACTTTTGACTACTGATTTTTATTTCTTGTTTGTTTTTATTTTCAAAACTATATTTTTTAAGGGCTGTGATTGTGCCTTAGTGGTAGAGTGCTTGCCTAGCATGTGTGAGGTAGTGGGTTCTATCCTCAGCACGAAATACAAATAAATAAATAAATAAGATAAAGGCCTATCTACAACCAAAAACTTTTAAGAAAATTATTATTTTAAAAATATATTTTTTAAAAATTGGCATATATAAAAATTAATATGCATTTATTATTAAATGTTGTGAATCAAATTTATATCTTACTTAATCAGGTTTTTTTTGTGTGTGTGTGCGTGTATGTGTGTGTGTAAGAACTAATAACATGAACTTTCTTTACATCTGTTTTTCTTCTTTTTTCTTATTGGGGATTGAACCCAAGGTCACTTAACCACTGAGCCACATTCCCAACCGTATTTTGTATTTTATTTAGAGACAAGGTCTCACTGAATTGCTTAGCTCCTTGTTTTTGCTGAGGTTGGCTTTGAACTTGCAATCCTCCTGCCTCAGTGTCTTGAAATTCTGGAATCATAGGAGTGAGCCACTGCACTTCTTTACATTTGGAAGGATACTGTATATCTTTTCCAGTAATTACCTTGCTATCTTGCTATAAATTAGATCTTCTGAAATTTATTCGTCCTATATAACTGTATGTACTCACCGATGTTTCCCCTACTCTACATTTTTCTTAAACACTATTCAATACTGTTTCCTTCTAGCCCTTAACTGTCATTCTACTCTCTACTTCAGTGAGATCAACTTTCTAAGATTCCACATGAGTGAAATAATGTGGTATTTGTCTTTTGGCTTATTTTACTTACCATTAATGTCCTCCAGGTTCATCCATATTGTGGAAAATGCAGGTTATAAAACATTTTGTCTCCTGATTTTTTTTCTTTCCAATCTGACAAACTGGTCCTAGTGTTTCCACGTTAATCAACTTTCCATCACTATGACAAAAATTCTTAATATATCAACTTAAAGGAAGATTTTTAGTTCACAGTTTCAGAAGCTAAAGTTATCGTCACTTGGCTCTTGTTTTTGTGTTGTGGTGAAGAGGAACATCATGGTGGAAGTGTTTTGCAGGAATAGCTGCTCACTTTCTTATGTCTGAGAAGTAAAAAAAAAGAGAAGTGCACAGAATCCTGGTATGACCACCCTTCGAGGGAATTCCCCAACAATCTCCTTTCTCCAACTAGAACCAACTCCCAGTAGTGCCACAGGCTGATGTTCAAGCCTTT